ATCTTCCCCGAACTAATCTCATGTCTAGATGTAAGACTTAATGTCTCTTAGAACACGCTCTTAATCTTTTTTCTCGTTTTTTAATTTTTAATTTTTTTTTTTTTCTCTTTTCCTTCCAGAAACACACAGCGGTATTGATGAGTAGATCCTTGGATTCAGAGGTTGGTTGAAACGCACCATGCCTGCTTCCATCTTTTGCTCTGGAGAGTTGTGAATTGCTCATGCCTATAGGGAGGAAGGATGGCACATGGGATTCCTTCTCAAGGCAAAGTTACCATAACGGTGGATGAGTACAGCTCAAACCCCACCCAGGCATTCACGCACTACAATATCAACCAGAGCAGATTCCAGCCGCCACATGTACATATGTAAGTATCCATCGTGAACTTAAAAAATTAGCAATCAAGAAAATATAAGTAAAGTAAGAAAGAAAAGCATTCACTAATGACTTCTGTTATAGAGAATAAAAGGTGAATGATTTATAAAACAGATGGGTCTCTGGAGGAATCTCCTACATCTGTATAACATTTAAAATTTTCAGAGCACTTTCAACCACAATTTGACATTAGATCTTCAAAGCCTCTAAGGGGTGGTGGTAGGTTATCCACATTTGTAGATAAGAGCAGATCAGAACAGAGAGGTTAAGGTATTTGCCTAATGCCACACAGTGAACTTTGGCAGTCTCCTGACCCTTAGTTCAATTTGCTTTACATTGTTTTGCTTGCTCCCACGATGAAATATTTCTTTAAAATTCCTCTATTTTTTCCCCCATACCTCACCCCACTACCCCTTTACATTCAGCTGGGAAATAGGCCTAATTGGGACTAATTGTCCAGCTACTGCTAAATCCATTGTCTTGCCTATTGCTGATGAAACGTGTGTTGCATGCTCCAGGACTCAAACAATATGGGGAACAAAGGATTAAGGGACGGTGGAACAGTTAGTTCCAGGAATTGTACTTTTCTCTCACTCCCTAATAGTATTTAAGTCATGTTGAGGTTTAAACTGTTTAAGGAACAAAGTGTGGGAGAAACCCAGAGGCGAGGATTTTGCAGCACCTGGTTGCACACCAACTTTCTTCTGGTCCTCTGCTACAGGATGTGCTGGGCTTTCAGCAGAAGGGTGCAAAAGGTCACCATCTCCCTTGTTTATTCAAGGCCTGGTGCTCATTCTCTCTGAGACTCTTCCAATGTCTAACATGAGTCTTTCACAGTAGAACTAAACCTCTTTGAAAACTATTGTATAGTCAAGATAGAAAGGAGGTTAGGGCTCTGTTGACTGTTTTTACCACTCCTAGAAGAATTGAACTGGGGGCATGTACAAGTCACAAACTCTTTTTTCTAGTAATTGTTTTAAGTGGGCATTAAAAAAATAGTAGGACACACTCCCCCCTCTCACCAACACACACACAAACCACCTTCAAATTTAGAAACATTAACTGAACAAAAAGGTCTTTCCCTTCACTGCCTTGATATTAACGTAAATACTAGGAGGTTGCTTTGCAAGTATATTTTGGAGAGCCACTCAATTACCTATGATGAGATTTCTGCAAAGCGGCATTACTGAAATAGCATGCTTGAACAAAGGAAAAAAAAAAAAAACCAAAAAAAGCCTATGATGAGATTTCTGCAAAGCGGCATTACTGAAATAGCATGCTTGAACAAAGGAAAAAACAAAAAACAAAAAAAAGGTCCTTGCAGATCGTTAGCACTAAACTATTTCTATGAACCTTATACTTTAGATCAGAGTATATTCGTGCTTATGAAAGATTGCTAACATGATTTTAAGGAAAAGTTCTTTTTAAGGCAAATAAGAGTTTTCTTTATTGAAATGTCTTTTCTGAATAAATGTGTTTTTTTCAAATCTTCTTTTTCTTCTTGTTTCTATTTATTTGTTTTTCTTCAAATATGTTATAAAATTTGTGAAAGCCATACTTTAGGATACCTTTAGCTTTGTTTTGCTGGTGTGATGTGTGTATTAAAGAACCACAAAGAATTTTCTGGATCTTGTTTCCACTCAGGCAAAAGAAAGTATGTTTTGCCCCAATTCCTTGGAAAATGTCTAATGAGGAAGCTCAGCTTAGTTGTCAGATCTGCTCACTTGTTCTTGGCCATCAGATTCCACTGGTGAAGTATGATGCAAAGAGATATTTAAAAAATCATATAACCTTAGAACTGGTCTGCTTTGCTTTAGCCATGAAAAATTTGAAAAAGCAAATTATACCTCTTTTTAAAAAATGGCTTGAAAAACGGGGTTCACACTGGCAACCTACATAGCCGTGTGGCCCTCTTACCAGACTCCCCACCTTGGAGAGCCTTGGTTCTCCCACAGGCTGGCTCCAGCATGCTTTTCACTTTTATCACCAAGGTGGGCTTCCTACCTGAGCCCTCTACTTCAGCCACATCCTGGGCTCACTAACCTGTGCATACCTTGGGTGGTTCCATCTCGGTGCCGTTGCCGGCACTGTTTCTCACAGCTGTGACCCATTTATGCTCTGCACCTCAAGTGCCTCAGAGCTAGTTTAGGCTGCTCCATTTATATGAAGCCTCTTCTACCTCTTTCTTCCCAATCCAGAATGATTGTGCCCTCCCCGGCACCCCCCGGTTACCAGGCATTTACTTCATACCACCTCTGTTATTATTTTTCATTTATATATCTATGTATCAATCAATCTATATCTATTTGAACCACCTGTCTATGTCTTTCTACATCGTTTACTTCTTAAAGCAGAGACTGTGCTTCTGAGCAGGTAACAGATGTGCAGCAATACTGAATGATTGATTGATTGATCGATTTGATTAGAAACGGGAATTTCTCTGTTGCGTCTGGACATCTTGAATGTTGTGTGAAGTTTCGTATTGTCAGGATGCTGGCTTACCTTTTCCATGGGTTTGCTTTTCCTTACTAGAGACTGTGCTGTTGTTTTATGAGCTGATGACCTAGCACGGTGACTGTCCTGTACTTAGGTGTTCGGGTATCCTGGCTGAGTGCAATCATGTTACATTTCTGTTACATTAAAAAAAAACATTGCCGTTAGTCTAAATAGAAACTTAAATTGGCTGGACAATATCTACGATATATTTAGTCTAAAATTTTTTCAGTTTTTCTGAAATTTTCAACATGTCATCGCAGAGCTTTGCTCCTCTTTGTAAAGACATTTTGTCTTTTCCATGTGTATGGTTCATCGATTTTGCATGGGATTCTTAAAACATTTGCTTCCCTTTTTCACTTAAACCTGAGGTCTGTGAAGACCTCTGACGGATCACCTGGATTGGTGTTGAAACCCAGGTCCCTTCAAGGATCCCTTGTTTTCTTTCCTACAACCTACTGGTGGTGGTTGGGGTTTTTTCCCTTTAAGTAATATTCACTTCCCATTTAGTTAAGTTACTTTCAGCCCAGCTTTGTGACTAACCCAGGGCAATTTATGTCCCTTCTCCAGGCCTCAGTTTATTCATCAGTTTATTCATTTGTATCAAATGATAGTTAAGGATCTCTTTAGCTCTGACTTACTAAGATTAAGATCGCAATTAAGACATCATTTATTTGCAAGGTGTTGCTGTGGGGGGAATAAAGATAAATAAGACCCCATCCCCATCTTCGTGAAGCTCATTGCTAATTTCAGAGCTGATGTTTCAACCTGCTTTAAGAAGTCTTGGTTTAGTTTTCATCTGTGAGTCTGATAAGACTGCCACCATACTTTCTAAGAATCATTATTGATTGACTACTGAGAAGCTCAAATCATTTTTTTTTTTTTTTTTTTAAGTTTTGGCCTCTTTCCTTGTCTGTACCTTTGGTTGTTACTTACCACTCATTCTTTCACATTGTTTTAGGGAGGCAGTGTACTTAGAGGTTGACATCACCAGTGGAATCAGATTATCAGATTTAAAATCTGGTTGCACCACGTACTAACTGTGTAATCAACCAGGAGAAATGTCTTAACTTCTCTGTGTTTTCATTTTCCATCTGTAAAATGTGTACGATGAAAGTAGTGCCTATCTCAAAAGGTTGTTGTGAAGGTTAAAAGGATAAAACAGTATATTTTATGTAAAGTTCTTCGAGAAGCACTTAGTACATATCTGTACTCAATAAATGTTACCTGTTATCATTAGTGATTGTTTTATTGATTCTTGGTTTTTATTCTAACCTGTCTCAATTCATTTTGAAAATCAGTGGCGTGTAATAAATGAGTAAATAAGAAAGTCATTGATCAGTTTTGTCCTGTCTTCTTCAAGGAGTTGTTGCCAACAGAGCACCATGGATACTTTTCTAGGTGGGATTTTTGGTTGTCAGGGTTGGCTGGTGTCCTGATTTAGTGCCTGTCAAGATCAAAACCAAACTCAGAGTGCCTTACCTGCCTCCAGTTACTCTCTGGGATTGGCAGTTCCAACGAGGGAAGGGATATTGTGAGCCTAGTGCTGCCTGGTTGTTCTCTGTGGAATCACAGAGACCTTCCTCTGCTTGGGCCAGACCTAGGCCCCTGTATCCTGGTCAGTGTCTTAGGCTCCCCACCCATATCTCTCGTTAAAACAGAAGCATCAAGAATTAACTATAATTAATCAATATTGAGTGCAAAGGGCACAGCTTGGGCTGGGGAAAGAGGACAGTATACACATAGTAGCTGAGAATATGGTCTGAAATCAAAGAGATATGTATACAAATGCTGATCCTGCCAGTTACTGGGTTGGCTGGGCGATGATGGAAAAATTAGTGAACCTCAGTCTTTTTATCTGTAAAATGGGTTTAACGACCCCTTAAGATGGCTGTGAGCATTAAATGTGATGATGCATATGAGATGCAGTGCCTTGATAAATAGATGCTGTGGTAATATTTATGATTTTGTGTATTAGCTGGGGAGCTAGATGTGGTAACATTTTCCTTTCTGAACTGCTTGGCTTTATAAAACCTGAGAAGTCCAACTGGTTTTACTGTTCTATTGTTGCATTGTGTAGTATCTGTCAGTATTGCTTGGGCATTGCTAGTCAAAAGTGATCTGTAGCTTTTTGGGTATCTTGGGGGGGCGGTTATTCCATGCCAAATTCTTAGAGGATTTTGTTTGTTTATCCAATCCGAGGTGGTTTCCTTCTCATCCAGTTTAAGAATGTGGAAGGAAGTAAATGTTTGTTTCAATTCTGTAGTAGGTATCTTTAGGCACAAAATAAAAGTTACAATGAGGTGTCATTTGGTTAAAAGAACAAATAAAAGTGTGTGGAAGGATAAATACCAACATTACTGATGATTATTTAGGGAATGAATTTGGTGGAGGGAATGTTGGGTAAGGACCTCTCACTTTTTATTTTTTATACTTTTTTATAATTTGAATTATTTTTATAACTATGTATGTAATACTTTTATGATGAAAACATTTTTT